TTAGGGAAATGTCCCAGTAGTTTAGGAGAATGAAGGTTCTAATCTAATCATAATACATAGCCATTACATGTCTAATTCCTGATAATGACAGGAAGACAGAAAGCGCATTATACTAATAATAATAATAATACTCAAATTTCTTTCTTTTTTTAGAGGACATTTCAGAATATCGCGATATATATCGTATATCGCGATATAGTCAGTAAATATCACGATATCATTTAGAGATCATATCGCACAGCCCTACTACAAATGTATTATCAAAAATGCAGATAAAGATTTTATTAGTTTTCCACCAACAACAGCTATAAAGAAACATACAAATACACCACATATCTAATTATTATCCCTCCAAACTATTTAGATTATTTTCCCCAGTGCAGAGGATTTTAAAACATAAAGAAGTAAACATTTCCAACAACACAATGTAAATTATTATATTCAGCTTAAGTATTAATTTAAAGTAATTCCTTTTACATAAAGGCGTTAATTCTCATGGTTTAAATGATTTTAAAAAGGAGTGTGTATATTTGGTTGAATAAAGCTTAACAACTAAAGTCACCATCATTATATTTAAAATACACTGATAGTTCCTTCTGATGCGGGTATGGCGCAAGCATTACAAACAAAACAGTGTTTTAATGTCCTCAGGGAGAGGAGCTATGAAGGAATCCATTGGAAATATTTGTTTTCTCAATAATAAAGTCAAAGAGGTTTCATTCACAACTTAAGACAAATTAAGAAACAATTCGTCCTTTATTTTATCACTGTTTGTACTCTAGGTGTTGAGTGTTTTCTAATAGGAAAAACGATACAACTTCAGGATGAGGACATTTTTATAAACTTTAAAAGGTGATGGATTTAATACAAATAGTGTACAACAAAATGTATTTTAAGAAATTGACTGATTTTCAGTTTTTACAATATGGCACCACTATTAAAAATAAGCTCATAAAAAGCAAATGTGTATTTCATAAATATTTTACTTGAAATGTTACCTTTAGTTTTTAACCACCCTTTTCTTCAAATGTCTTTATTTTATTCTTTGACTCTGTATATGTCCCCTTGATGTCACTATTGTATGTGAGTGTATGTCATGTTTTATGTACATATATATTTTCTTGAATAAAAAGGAACAACACAATTCGTATCAACTGTAGCGCTTTTCGCATCAACTGTAGTGCTCGATATTAGCATGTGGCTAACTAGCTCATATCAATGCTTTTGTGTACTACTGAAGTAACTTATCAACTGAACCACAGCAGTATGAAATGAATGAATACAGCATTTTATTTGTATAATGTAAACGTAACCGAGTTGCAGCATAGCTCGGCTTTAGAATATATAGAAGCAACAATAAATTAAAAAAGGATTCATTAAATCCAGTTAACCGGCCTTGGCTAACATGCTAACATTGTTAGCTTAACAACAGTTAGCTTCCGGCTGCTGCGGTTTTAATTTAAGGATCAAAGACCGAAAGTGACCACAGAGCCAAAGAAAGGTTGATCATTAAAAGTACTTACATGTTTGCAGATTTATAAAAACAGTCTTCTCAGATAGTATTGCGCTCTTCGTCTCCGGAACGATTCAGCAAGACCAGCGTGGACAGAGCTACTTCCGGTTCACCTACTGCGCGCTTAAAAACCTTGGCGATAACTTCCGGGTCACTACTTCATTGAAGAAGAACAGCACACATTTTGTTTCTTCCCTTTATTTATTCAAGAACATTATGAACATCATATATTTTGTATACAAAAAAGTTGACATCATGGGAAGACATATAAAAAAATAAAAAAATGCATTAAAAGAAGAATACAGTTTCATATTAAATATTTGTTAAATACACAAAATTAGGTTTAGTCAGCCCACCTCGAATGTAACATTTCCCTAAAAATAAAATGATTTTCCTGAAATGTACTCTTGTTATCACCTTCTATACTAAATCTCTGATTTAGATTCAAATACATGCTCCTTTTGTATAGATATTGAAAAACTAGAAGAGTTTGGGATAAATTCCATTAGCTTACTTTTACAAATATTCAAATTTCAAAATATGATAGCAGAAACATTTGGCCTTCAGATGGAAAGTAAAGGACACTACATTTGTATTAGTATTATAGGAAAAGTATTTCATTAGCAAATGTTGCATTCTCAAATGTATCCCTCATTGATTATTTTAATGAAAAACTAAAAGAAGCGTTACATTTTCACAAATATCTTTGTTCCTCAATTTTATTAATTAATCTATTTTATTTTAAGAATTATATTACGTTTTACGCCGGGCATTATGCATTGCTTTTGCAGGAAATTGTCACAGAAAAAAGGCAGAAGGAGGCACCAACGTGACACCGCAGACCCAAACAGATAAGTCTTTGTTTTGCTCATTAACACAACAAGAAACAGGGGAAAGTTTGTGTGTGTGTGTGTGTGAAAGAGAAAGAGAGAGAGACGGAAATGTAGGCTACACTATCTACACAGCAGTAGTGAGACATTGAGAGATTGTCTTTCCGGCGAGAGACAGACAGACGCCTGGGGGTGTACAACCCACCCACCTGCTTTCAAATGGTGGCAGGTCTACCTGTGGAAGCCACTTGCTGAGGATAATGGAGGCCTGTGTTCTGCCGAGAGACCCAAGTGTATAGGATTGATTTCCAGAGCTGTTCTTAATCTTTGTAAGCACACCTAGTTTAGCCAAAATACTTACAACTTAAACTGTGGGCATGTAAAGTGAGCTCAATGTATGTGATGAATGCAATTCGAAGAGCATAGATTCACATAAAGCAAGTAAATCAAATGGACAGCGAGAAGAAATTACTCTGAAACAACAGAGTGATGTGCAAAATGACAAACCCTCTCCTAACTCTCTTGTTCTCCTAAAAATTACACTATTCTGTTTTCACATCAAATAAAAAGTTAACAATTCTGCGACTCCCCCTCATCATTTGACCTTTCGTGCAAATAATGTAGCTGTTTCACTTTACATTGATTTCGGTGGTGAAATCTCACAAAGTGGCCTAAAGTGAACACAATCAAGAACAATGTCAAGAAAAAAACCATCTCATTGGCTTATAGCTGAATACTCAATGCTGATTGTTGCATTTGGACATTAGAGGTCTACTATTTTTTGATAGCAGACCGTTCAATTAAACGTCGGCTGTGTAAAATAAAACATTTGTTTTCCTTCATCAGAAAACACCAAGGAAGACCAACAGGAAGTAAACACTAACGGGAAAAGCAGAAGAAAACAGACAAGAAGTAAACAGTTGAGGGAACAGCAGAAGAAGAGAGACACAAAGAAAACATTAGAGGGAACAGCAGTAGAAGACCAACAGGAAGTAAACACTAACAGGAACAACAGAAGAAGACAGACAAGAAGTAAACACTAAAGTGAACAGCAGAAGACAGATTTGTTCGCCTTACGTTATCCCTTATCAACATTTATCACCAAATTGTGTCATTCCAACAGTCTGTATGAGTTTTTTTTTTTCATGAATCAGTATAGGCTGTGAGTATTAGCTCTGAAGTAATCAGTGGAGCTGTCAAAAAGCGATTGTTTATTACTCTAAAAGCAAACAGTATCATCTTACTCCTGCCTCAGGGTATAAAACTCTTTTGTGTGCCATAAACCTGTTGATTCACAGCTCAGACACAATCACTGATGACAATATTCTTATCTTCGCATATCTATACTGAGAGTCTGCCAACAGTGAAGATATCCATTCCCCTTTGCTCAACCACCAGGCATGTTTCAGGTTTGGAGAGGTGACGGGCCGGGGTCTTCTGATATAAAGAGGCCATTGTATCACAGAGACAGCCGTCCAGAAAGCTGCCTCAATCTGTATCTGCAAACAATAATAATATGCTATTCTTATATGTAGTGAGAGGTGAGGGAAAGGTGAGCAGATCTGCAGGTGAGTCATGTCTACCTGCTGAGGTTATGTCTCAGTCTGTTTCCACATCATGTCTCTTCAGGAAAAGCTTCGGGTGCACATTTGAACTGTTGATCTTTAAAAAGAAAAAAATCCAGCATTCAATTAGATCATATTATATATATATTGTATTTATCCCAAATTTGGATTTTTTTCTTTTAACGGCATCAGAAAGTTAATAACACACGAGTTACAATATGATAAATATAAATAAAATACAAATAGTATAAAAAAGGTGAACATAAATATATATCCACGGTAAAAACATGAATAGAATATGTATAGATATATGTTCTGCTGTTATATATAGTTTATGATTATCTTTTATTTGATTCATTTTATTATATTTATCATATAAATATTTTTAAGGAAATTCAATTAAGAAAAGAAATGCAACAAATTTAATATCGTAATTTTTCAATCTCAATTATTTTCTTTATTATAAAACAATGTCAACTCCTTCGATGAAACATACATTTAATAGCCAATTTTTGTCTCTTTTCTTTAAATTACGAAAAAATATAACTATTGTCGTTTTATAAGCACTTCCACAGCATTTTAACTCTAGGTCTCATCCTGGGCAAAAGAATGACTTCAGACAGATTCGTTTTTATTTTGATACATTTTTTGATTTTATTTTGCAGATAATTCATGCGCAAACAACTCAATTTCTATACTGACAAGTGCATACACATATCTGGAAAAAACAAATTTCAGTGAATGAAAAATGACACTTTGTCCTTATTATTATTATGTACATATTTATTTGCACAATTGTGGAAGATGACATTTCGAAATCCTCCTCACCTTACTGTCTATGTGTCAGATATTCTTAATAGTTAATTTGACACAGATTGCACAACACACGTTATGATGAAATAATACAAGTCAGTGCAAAACATTTCCCATTTTAGTTAATATATATTTGAATTTAACGCGGAAATTATTTGGGAAATGTTGTGGGATATTTTTCATTTACGCAATAAAATCCAGTCTGCAGGCCCTTATAAATTGGCCTTTTTTTCAATCACACTTCTACAGCAATATTTTAAATCTTTAATATCTTTTACTCTATTTTTCTATATTCCAAGACAAAGAGGGGCTTGAACTGACTTGAGGGCAGTAATTCGGAAAGTCATTGCAGAATCCTCCCAGCTCTGAGTGGCCGCTCTTTGATAAAAACTGTCCCGGAGCAGAAGTCTTGGCAGAGGCGCACTCCTCTGGACACGGACTGAACGCCGCGGCACAGGGGATCTGGTGGGAGTAAAAGTAGCTGGCTTGTCCAGAGATCATGTTAAAAGAGTAGGGGTCCGACAGAGGCAGGGTGCACGCGGGGATGGACGTGGAGAAAGCAGTGCACGCGGTGCCAATCTGATGGCGTCGAGATTGCGCGCAGCTGAGTCCGATGTAAGACATCTCCTGGTGGGTCTGCAGGAACCGATCTGCGTCCGCGGCACTGGACGCACTCAGCCGCTGGGAGACCATGGAGGTGGCGTGGTTTGGGAACCGCGGTGTCAGGTAAGTCCCCGTGCCAAGGTGAGTGCGCACTGGTGTTTGGAGAGGAAGAAACGGTGGCCAGTAAAACGAACCAGCGGCGGCTAAAGTCACACTGGTGGCGGTACTGGAGGACATCAGGCGACCTCCTCCTCCTCTTTTTAACGCAAGCTTGGTCCTGGATCCAGCCGTGGCTCTGCGCCGGAGCTTCCCAGATGTGCCACCAATAAACACGTCCTCGCTGCAGGGGTCCAGCATCCAGTAGTTGCCTTTCCCCGGGTCATCGTAGTGGCGCGGCACTTTAACAAAACACTTGTTCAGGCTCAAGTTATGCCGGATTGAGTTTTGCCACCCCTGTCTGTTCTGTCTGTAATAAGGGAAGTTTTCCATGATGAACTCGTAGATGCCGTTCAGAGTGAGCCGTCGCTCCGGGCTCTGACGGATCGCCATCATGATGAGCGCGTTATAGCTGAAAGGAGGTTTCTCAGGTTTAATGCTTTCTTCTTCTCCTCCTTTCTTCTGAGTCCCCTCTCGTTTCCCAGTCGTAAGCAGGGGTTTGCTTATCCCTTTACCGGTGTCAAAGTGTTTCTCTTGGCTTGGTTTCTCCGGAGGTTTCCGGGACGCAGAAGGAGTCTCCTCATCCATCACTCCCTCTCGTCTCAACAGCAGGCTGCTGATGCTGAATGAGGATTTGTGGAACAATCGGTCAGAAGTTTTCAAGTCCGCCATATCTGTCATAAAGTCCTCAAAGACTTGCAGTGATGAGAGCAGAGCGACTCACTGAACTCTGATGCAAAGTGGTGAGGAGCCAAAGCCACAGAGAACAAATGCGCATGATCACAGGAGCGTTACAAACTCAAAGTGACACAAGTGTTGCATTCAACAGCCTCTTATTTCCAGGATTGGGGGGGTTACTTTACAAATTTGAGTATCACAATATAAAATAAACCATCTCCAAGTGGTTGACCAATTAGAGCTGAGCGGCTAGCTAACCAATCAGAGCAGACTGGGCTCTGGTTTCAGACAGAGGGTGAAAAGAGGTGCTGCAGCACATTATGATAAAAATAAACACCCTTTTCAACATCAAAGGAAGCAAACATGTCACAGTCGAGGCACAATATACTAATTTGAACCTGAACATGAGCAGAATATGGCCCCTTTAACCCATTAAAGAAAAACAATCACTTTCAAAAAGGCATTTAAGTCACTCATTGTCCATTGTCAATATAAACAAATCCATATAAACTGGATAATAATTTAGTTAAAGAGGCGTTTTTAAAGGATTAAATGCTGTCAATCTGTGTGACTGATCGGTGAACTCTCGGGTTCACTTATAACACTTCCGGGACTCATGAAACTCAACCCTGCACAGGCCTTTCCCTCGGGGCTGGCCTCATCGCGCTCTTTTACTATTTTCTTCCTGTGCACCTTCTCTGACACCATGATTTGGCAAAATGCCTTTAAAATAAACTACAGGTAGAAGAAGTATCCAAAATTAAAATTATAATACCAAAAGAAACACAAATCTGTTCAAAGAAAAACATTTGAACGGTTGTGATCCTAAAATATCATATCTCCATTAACATTTGCAAAACAACAATTTTAGTTTATGAGGTTTATTTATTAAATAATAAATAAAAAGATAAACCTAACAACCTGACAATTCATTTGTATTAACACTTACAGGGTAGCCTACTAATCCCCAATTTTCTTTAAATTTAACAGTAATCTGATTACATGTTGTTTTATGTAACGGGTAGGGAATCTTTGTTTTTGTATCCTGATTACTCATTACATGTAATCCAATACTCCCCAACACTGAAAAATGGAAACGTTAACTTTAATTAAATGTATTATGTCAACAGATTTCACATTAGTTTAAAGCAATCATATTATTGCTTTAAACTAACCTAAAAACCGTTAACGTTTCAGTTTTTTCCCTATACAACTGGAACATATCATATTAAAGACTGTTCTAAAGTAATCCCCTCCTATGCTGTGTTTGACAGTTCATATGTCAGACATCAAACATGAGGAAGTACACATTTAATCTGTCATCGTTACACCTCCTCTTCATTGGAGAAGAGTCTTCCTCCATAATCCCCGCGCTACACAAGTGAGCACTTGTTGGGAATGTCTCAGACTCTAGAAAGCTCACCTTGATCCTTAATACCTGTAATCCCCCTGTTTTATTTTTCTTTGTTTAATATTCGATATCATGTCTTGTGTTGTTTACAGTGATTTATCATTAGCAGCCTCTATTACAATTATTAAACAGACTAAACTCTGCCAACAGCTACAGTTGAACAACTTTATAACTGAGTGTCGCCAAATCCTCAATCCCAGCTGTGTGCGTCATTTCCCGTTATGTTTTGAGCTTCTTGCAGCGTTTTGTTTATGCAGCGCTTTTAGTAAACGTTGTACATTGGTGAAGATGTTTCTTAATTTGCATGTGTTTTGGCACATTTCTGTTTTTATATTTGTATTGTCACTGAAGCTGCAGTGTGTTTCTGCTAATGGAAATGTTTTAAAATCTCAATTCAAAATCTCAGACACTCAAAATCCAGCACAAGACACTTTTTTTACGCTGCTATGGACAATCTGCAATAAATGCACATTTTATGGACAATCTTGCACCAAAGTTATTGATATTGAAGTGACTGTTATTTTGTGAATATTGATTGTTGTTGTTTTTTTATCTTAATGTGTGCATATGTGTAAATGTGTATGTTGATTGTGTGTATAGGATATACATATGTTATATCTGTATTACTGTATCATTTTACATTCAGGATTGTTAGAAACGTCATTTCGATCTCTCTGTCTGTAAACACAAACTGAGTAAGATTGACATTAAAGTTGACTTTGACTTGACTTTTAGGCTGTTGTAGCGTGTTTGAACCTGTCAGCCACCGTACAATAGCATTAAAACACAGCTCTATCAAAGACAATTGTTGTAGTCCTCACATTAGTAAAAAAGTAAAATAGTCCAGAAAATATAGCATTTATTTCCAAAATATTTGAATCATAAGCGATATCATCTTTTAAAGTTGAGCCTAATGCCTAGAGCAAAGATAACTGAAATGTATTGCCTGCCATGTTAACACTGCACTAAAAAGAAGCATCGCAAAGTTAAAGAATGTGATCAAATACAAAAAGTTATAAACCCATTTATTTAAGTGCATTGATTTTATGTAACTTTTAAATGATAGTTGCTTAATTTATTATGACATAAATCATTGTGAGCAACTTCAAAGTTGAATGAATGAATTGAATATTGTTTGCACAGCTAAAGCCTGTAGTGGTGGCTCCCCCTGTCTGTCAGCCTGTGAAACATCCCCTTATTACCACTGGTGGAAAGTCACTCATTTACTCAGTTCCTGGACTTGAGTTACATTTTGGAGTACTTTTTTTGAGTATTTCCATTTAATACTACTTTATACTTTTACTCCATTACATTCCTTAAACAGCTTTAGTGACTTTTCAGATCTTCAATTAAAATGCATGTGATACACTTTGAACATAATGCATCTCTATGAATGAAACTAGTGGACAAACTGTTAAAGGTACAACAAAGTAAAGTTATACAATATATTACAGAAAAGTCCTCACATGAATAATGTGTGTATCAAAGCGCTGTTTGTGTACAACAGTAACATGCTGCTTGATGCAACAATATTACCTAATTATCTAATATATATAATAATATATCACATATATCATATTTAGTTCTGCAGAGTTAGTACTTTTACTTTGTATACTTTAAGTACATTTTGCTGACCTGTACTTCAGAGTGTAGGACTTTTTATTTGAATGGAGTATTTTGACATTAATGCTACTTTTACTTCAGCATAGGACCCGAGTACTTCTTCCAACACTGATCCTCGTCGTTTCATATTGATCCTGAAATGGACCTTTAGGCATAACCAGTACTTTTACTTTTGGTATAATTAGATGCTGATACTCTTGTAACTTAAGTCACTTCTTGAATGCAGGACTTTAGCTTGTAACAGATTACTTTTTCAATTTAGTATGGTTTCGTTTACTTCATAAAACAAATCGCAGTTCTTAATCCACCTGTGCTTATTTCACATTATAAAAAAGAAACACAGAGAAAAAGTTAGGGTTAATGTTTTATTTGAATGATCATGTTTATAGCATTAACAAGGACTCTTTGTGAAGCCAGGGAACTGATTGGCCCTTAAAACCTTTAAAGATAAGCCTTATGTGCTCTTCAGTTGTTGCAGCACAGCGTAAAGCTCTGCCCCGGGACATTCAGTGTCTTTCACATCTCTGTGTCCACACAGGCCGAACTGGGGCTTTATGAAGCCCTGACACACGCCGGACTGCAGCAGCTGCTTGACTGAAGCCAGCGCTTCACAGCTCGGTGCTTCACCTAAAATATAAAAAATGCATTGTCATCATATATGACATCTCAACACATTACATTTCATGCTTTTATTCAAAGTAACTTACAATAAGTGCAATAAACCACAAAGGTACAAACTTAATTAAAATGAATAAATTAATTTAAACTTGAATCCTTATTTTATTCTATTTTCTTTCTTTTTTAATTCCTTTTCTAATTCTTATTTTATTCAGTCCTTCAATATGTTGGCTTTTATTGGTATTCACGTATTTATTAATCATGAAGTTATGTGTGACATGTGGTAGTGTTATTTTTCTCTTTTTGTTTTTGTTGGTGAAGCACTTTGTGTATGAAAAGTGCATTACATCAAAAAAGGAAATTAAAAGATAACATGTTCTACAAGTTGAAGTCGCTTTAATGACCAATGACATTATGTCTATTTCCTTGATATTTTCCCCACAAATGATCTCTGTTCATTAGGAAACAGACAGGACTCACTGACCCGTGAGAACCTTGTCTTTATGTTGCACAATGGATGAAAAGATTAGGAGCACACCTACTTTTAAAGTTGCCGATGAAGGCAATCCCCAGTGAGTCATGATTGTTGCTTAAGGCATGAGCCCCCACCGCGCCCCAGCCACGGCCCTCGAACACCGTCCCATCTGCTGCCACCAGGAAACTGAAACACAGACAGGGTTTATGGTTAGAGGGCATATTCTGATTTCAGTGTGTGGGAGAGAAACTCCGTCTGGAGAGAACACAGGGATTTTAGCCTTTGCAGACCATTTACATGCACACAAACCTATAGAACACACTACAGGGAAGGGGAAATACCAGACACATAATCGGGCCTCTTTAAGGACCTAGGATTGGAAAAAAGGTCCAAACTAAAGAGAAAGAACACATAATTAAGTGTCCCTCCATTACGTCCACATTGTAAACACTGTATGAACATCACTCAGAAACCGCATGTCCCTGCAGCTACTCACTTGTACGCGATGTCATCCCAATTTTTCTCAGTCATGTGCCATCTCTGGATGCTGACGACGCGGCTCACACACTCGCTGCGGCTGCTGCAGCTTGGGGTGTCCGTGTGGTGGATGATCACTCTCTGAGCACAGGGGATCTTCTCCGGCGCCTTCTTCGGAGCAGCCGCCCCCCACTGCTGCCTCGACACTATTTCCACTGAGGAGAAATCAAATAAAAAATTTTTTTTATAAAATGTCATCAGCAGCAGGGTTGGGGGGGTCATGTAATCCTTCTGAGGATCAAAATATGAAAGTTATGTAACCTGGATACTTTATTTTGGATTACCTCAATATCAAATGCAATGAAACACATGAGCACGTATACTACGGTTAAAATAAGCAGAAATCAAATCTGAGCTGACATGAAAATACTGTTTTAGTTAAGACACACGGTTAAGCTCACACACACTATTATAGGTTCACATATAGGTTCACCTGCTGAGTAAAAAAAGAACAAATGAACCAAAGAAAGTGAAACCATAAAGCAGATTCAGGCAGTAGGCGTATAGATTCACATTTAAAGTATTAGCCTACAGAACAGTACAGCTTACAGAGAAGAAATACAATCGGACCTTTATACAACAAACACTATATGCTATTTTTAGTTTGTTACTATCAATGTAATCTTGGTGGTAATACACCATTTTTAGAAATGTAATCTGACAGCGTCTCCCAGTGTAATGTCTGCAGTGTGAGGATGTTACCTGTAGTTGCCATCTCTCCGTCAATATATGGATTCAGCTTGCTGTGCATCGCCTTATCTTGAGTGACTCTCAGGAGGCGTGGTCTCGGGGAAATACACCTTCCTGGTTTCTTGTTGTTTCATGCCAATGCACAAAATACATTCCAACTACTCATCTGACTGAGTAATTATTCTTCAGTTGCCAAACAGGTCTTTGGAATACACGTGTGGATACATAAGAGGAAGTTGATTAAGAAACATTAACACGGTGGCATTTTTTTTCTTCCCACAAATGAGGCATTAATACATAAGATACATTATGTTTTAAGTCACAGGAGTTTTTAGGGGAAATCAGCTGTTTTGCAATATCAGTCATTATGCTAAAATCCCTATGAAGCAGAATGTAACAAAGTATTATATTCATTTTACTTGAGCATTTCATGCTACTTTATAATCCTACTTATTTAACACTCAGTTACTTTAAACCAGGGGTCACCAACCTTTTTTAGGATGAGGGCTACTTTCAAAAAATAAAGCAAGTCGGGGGCTACTTTTACTCCTCTTTTTTTTGTTTTTTGCAGTGTACATATTTTATATTTATATATTATATGCTTACCTTTAACCTTTGTGTGCTGTTTGGGTCTGTGGGACCCGTTTTCAGTGTTTACTAAAAGAAAATGTATGCAATTTAATAATTTTAACCTGCTTTATTTGGGGGTGGACCTCACATCCTCNTGTGTGTGCGTCAAGTGGAATAAATATATATACAAGTTACAACACACACAGAGTAAAACTCTGCTCCTCATGTGTTGTATAGGCTGGCATGATAGGCTGTTCAATGGGGCTGATGTGTTGTGTAGATTCTGCCAGAAGGAAAATCAGCGGGGAGGTGCCACATTGCTTTTCTTCCCGACTGCAACGCTGGCAAATCAAGCAAGAACGTGATTCGTCGACATTCATTGTGAGGGTGGGGGAGGAGGGGTGTTAGATAGATATAGAGTTGTAGTAAGTAGATAGAGTTCGCTATGATTTAGGTTTCGTTTATGCATAGAGTAGATTATTTTAATTACATTTCCTTTTTTGTTTTGGATTTGCTTGGCGAGCTATTTTTAGAACATGCCCGGCGGGCGACTCACGTTGCCCCTGCGGGCGACTGAGTGCCCGCGGGCACCGTGTTGGCTACCCCTGCAACACACTATGCTTACATTAATCATATCAATATAACATATCAATCATGTATTCTACAAAGTCTCTGAAATGGACTCCATATTGAAAAACTACAAGATGAAAACGTTTGTTCATGTGATAAAAACAGGATCCATTCGGCTACTTTTGATACTTGAAGTCCATTAGGCTGATAATACTTCTGTACTTAATATTTTTCTGAAATGGGTCATTTTACAGAATGAGTACTTTTTCTTTTTGTTGCACTTTTAGTTTGAATTCTGGATCTTTACATGGAATCGAGTGTTTAAAGACCAGAAGTAGAAATACATTGTCCTAAAATACAAGATAGATCAAAGATGGAATCCTATCTTGGAGTCCTAATTGACAATGATCTCTCTTTAAGCCCCACATTCAACAACTGGTGTAAAAATGAAGGATTTCTTTCTTCCTTTGATTCCAACAAGAGAGTTATTGCTGCAACCTTAATGTCGGTGTGGAATCTGGTGATGTGGTTTTTATAAATGCATCTTCTACATGCCGTCACTCGTTTAATCCCTTCTACCACTGATCATTACAAACCTTAAAACCCTTGAACGCACCACTGCTCCTTGTATGGTCTTCTCTGACCACCCGTAGACAAAACCAGTAGCACACTTTATTTATGAGGCTGTTCTTGGTGCTCTTTCAACTTATTTTTGCGTATTTCCATTGAAAAACAAAAAGCAAAGAACTAAAAAGGTACCATGAGGTCAGATTAGCAATGATTGAGTCGGACCTAAACATTTCAGATGTGTCTCACACTGCACTGTAACTTTGCTTTTAAATGCCATTTTATATAGTTTATTTTAAATGTGTGTTTTTAAATGTCATTTCATAATATGTTTCTTAATGTCTTTCATTTTTGTAAAGCACTTTGAATTGCCTTAAACTTAAACTTGCCTTAAACTTGCCTTAAACTTGCCTTGCTGGAAAAAGTGCAAGAACCCATCAGCTCCGTTCTGAGAACTTGTTTTTACTAACGGTCCCTGAAGTCTACACTGTGCGGGGGCAAAGGGCTTTCGGTTCGGCTGCTCCTTCTGCTTTGAACCAGCTGCAACATGACCTGAAACTCAGATTTAACGGATTTATACAAGTGCTTCTTAAAGCCAGAGGACTAATAAATAAATGAGTACACGGTCCGAGTAAATCTTCTACCTCTGTTTAGTGTGTCCGCTGATGTGAACATTCGTTACACCTTTTCAATGAAAACTCAGAGACATTAGAAACAATTGATTCTTTTAATCTAACAAAACACACCTGAATGACAACTGTTATATAAAAAATAACTATTAATACAATATATTCACATGATGGAAACTAAAAAGACAAACACAAAGATGGTTTCAGAGTTTACAAACACCAGCAGTTAAAAAACAAACTCTGTTGGAGATTTACTGTAGATAAAATGTTAGACCTCTTCATCATCTTTACTCCGTCCATCTGTGTCCACAGTGAGGCGCTGTGCACACGTAGTACAGTCTCATGGCGTCCTGTCAGGAAAACACAATGTATGAGAGCTTTTAATTCAATATCAAATACCAAACTAAAGATGTGCAGACAACAGGATTAAGGTCGTCGTCAATAAAACGTATTCCTCGACAAACAATATCAAGACTTCAGGTCATGCATTGTGTTATATAGTCATTCAAAAGCATCATTACCTCAGCCTTCATACTGTGAGACTGGAAGAACACTGCCTCCTTGTGACCACACCTGGGGAGAGACAAGGAGAGAGAACAACGTTAAAAACCCCTATAAACACAGCTAGTTGAAAGCTCAATTCTGATTGGTCGATTTGGAAAGTAGCTCTGATTAATGTGCAGAAAGTAGTCTGGTCAATTTAACGTCAGCTGTGGACAACAAACATTAGTTTCACTCCATCAGAGTCTTTTTGTAAGTTCACTTTTATATTTGTGGAGAGCACAATACTTTGGATTCATGATGGCTAAACTGTCTCCAGTAAAGAAAAGAGAACAAGAAAAGGAAAGAGGGTAAAAGACAGTGAGCTGACGTCAGAGAAAGACCGACAGGAAGTAAACACTAACAGGAACACAGGTTGGGGTTGAATTGTCCAAAAATCAGCTCCTATCATCTTTTCTTAACCACTATCCCTTAACCTCTGGGTTAACAAAAGATGATAGGGGGACTCACCAGGATTTAGGAAAAGACAAGTGAGGTGGTTTGCGAATCCGTCTGCACTTACGCTATGTGACATGATCATTCATGAGACGCCAGTGGATGTTATTAATGTATTTCTGCCATGGGTAAACAATCATTTTCTTTATCGCGGACAACTTTTAGCGCACCTATAGATACTTTGCACTGTGCGCTCTTATGGTGTTGTTTTTGTCCCTGCCCTGTTTCAAAAGTGCTGATTCTCTGTCTGTTACTTTAGATGAAAATAAGGAGCCCCTCCCCACGCCACGCCCTCTGAGAGATATTTGGTTAAAAAGAACACAATGGTGCTCTAGGAGGAGATTCAGGTGATAAGGTGGGGGTTACCTTGGTTGGTGATTGGCTAATGGGTACACAAGCCAAACAAATTGTTATGACATCATAAAGTAGCCAAAATCTGATCAGCTTATTTTCATTACATTACATGTCACTTGTTAGACGCTTTTATCCAAAGTGACTTACATACTCAATACTGTGGACAATCCCCACAGGAGCAATTTGGGGTGAAGTGTCTCAGGGACACAACGACATGCTGACTGCAGTGGGGTTTGAACCTGTGACCCCCTGATCTGA